ATATATATATATATATATATATATACATATATATATATATATATATGTATATATATATATATATATAGAGGGGAACTGCAAGGGACAACAGACCACATGACAGATTGGAACAGAACCGCCAACTACACCAAACAAGGAGCAAAGATTACAGCGATCGAACAAAGCTCCAGTCTTTTCTTCTTCTTCTTCTTCTTCTTCTTCTTCTATGATTCCCTTCCCTCGAGCATCTAAAAAGGGTCCCCTGAGAACTGAGAATTCTCTCGAATATCTAGAGTGGTAGCCCTTCTCCCGCTTTTTCTCGCGCCAGCCGCTTCGGGGCTCTGGTTTTTGTATCGAGACGGCGGAGGGTTTCGGCGCTGGGGTCGGGATAATGGTCTGTTGAGGGTTCTGGTAGTGATCGGGAGACTGGATGATGGCGCCTGCTTCTCGGGCTGGTTCCGGCTACTGGATTTTCTTGCGGGGATTTCCTCCGTTGTTGAGGAAAGGAGGCGGCTTGTTCATCCCCGATTGTGGTTTTGGAGGCCCGAGATTGATCATGGTTTAGAAAATGGAAGAGGGCTGCACTTGGAAACCCTTCTGGAACTTGCTTTGAGTCACGTGTAGTCGCTTCAGATGTGCAGCCCTAATGGATCTTGGTTCTTTCCACTGATCACTGGCCTGTTTGCGTTCTTGAGGTGCCATAAAAATGTGAGTTTATACAAAGGAAAGAGGGGAACAAGATTTATCTGACAAGTTGAATTTGGGTACCTTAGGTTAGATTTTTGTTCTATTGGAAGTTTATTTTCCTGGGATTTCATTGTGATGCACCAAAAAATGTAAATATAGTCATTCTGGAGCTTGAAATTAGCGTGTGGACAAGGCTTATGAGCAGGAGCACTGGCGATGGTTCATTCCCTAACCGGAACTACTGAACTGGATATTGGGACTTTTTGGTCAGCAATTGGCAAGTGTGCAGTAATGTCTCGCTGCTTCCCGTATCCGCCACCAGGATATGAAAAGAAGGCGAAGAATGTTGCAAGGAGTGACTACGTATACTTACTGGCAAAGGTTATTCCATAAGCTTATGGAAGCATGCTTGCTTTTATTAGCTTTGAATGGCTTTATTTAGTTGTTTTGCCAAGCACATAGAGCTTTGCCTTGGCATTTGATAGTGTAAGTCAGGCAATTGATGAATTGCTTTGAGAATGTTATTTTTGTATCAACTGATCATAGCATTTTTGGAAGTAGATAACATGTCAACTGCATTGTGGGCCCTACGGTAGGATGAGCAACTTCGGTTAAATTTCATCATACAATGTATCTATCATTTAAATTATCCAAAATAAAATCATAACCGTTGTTTTAGGTGGAAACAGAGTTTGTAAATAAATTGTTTGAGTAGCTTTCACTCACCAGATAGTTGTATAGATTCCTTTCCCAAGGGAGCTAAACAGAAAATGTTGCTTCAATTTAAAGTTGGTTAAATTAAATGCGCATTCTTATATACGTGTTCATATTTCAGTTCCCATCATGCCATGTTGATATTCGTATGTTTTTCAACTTGCCATTCTTGTTCAATTGCCTCTATTCGGTCAACTTTAGAGGCTTCAAGTTAAGAAACAACTGATTGTTTCAACTGATAAGGCTTCAACTTTGGCACAGAGAGATTGAGCACTCACCTGGAAGGGAGAGAGTTTTGCTGAATACTGCCAGGCCTGTGCAATAGCATGCATGGGCAGCAACTGCATATTGCATTAAGGACTCATTGGTTTATGGTTCTCACAGCTGCATGCGTTCTTGCAATTTTGGCTGTGAAGTTCTTGTGGATATACAACATTAGCAATATTTCATCTGTTGCTTAATAAGTTATTTCCCTTGATAATTTACCATTGAAAATGCCGGCAGCATTATGGACTGAAATTTCTTATACTGTGAAATGAAATAAGGGGGAAATTTTTACTAGTCTTGGAAAAGTCTGATTTTTTATCAATAACCTAGGCAGTGTGCTTTTTCTTGAGAAACAGCTATCTGCAAAATGGTTTGCGATTAATTTTGTCAACTCGTACATTTGATTAGTCATTTCACATGGGCTCTTGGATATCATTGTTTGATTTTCTTTATAATTGGGTGAAAGTTTGCCAAATAGATCATTAAAGATAATAAATGCGTAAAATGTAAAATGTTCTAAAATTTAATTCTTCTTGTATAAGGGTTAGTGCTAACATCTCTTCTCTTGATGAAGGTTTCTATCATAGAATACCTTTTCTTCCATCATTTCTTTCTTCTTAGTCAATCTGAAACTATTGTTGTTATGAATGGGCATCAAAGGCATTCATCTTAATCATCATTTTTTCCCACCATTCTGAATCTCATTGCTTTGATATAAATTTTAGATGACATTTATAATTCCTGAAAATAGTTTTCATTAGTAAAATGCCTAGTTAAAGAAGGTTTATTAAAAATGTAGATTAGTTGAAGAAAACTATGAGGTGACTAGTTTAGTTTGGCATCCTTTTTTCTTTCATTTTCAGTCTGCTGGATGCATTTATCAGCTTAATCAGAATCCATTATACATTTAATTGATATTAACATGTGATTGACTTTCTTTTGTGTCTAACCACACTCTCGAGTGTTCTATTCTCATAATGGGGAAGCATATTGTGGATTACTTCTGGAAGTTCTCTTTATGATAATTTCATTATTCAGTTGTCTAGATGAAATAAGTTTATGATTTTTCTAGGTGAGACTCGTCATTTCAGAAATATTCAAGGGATATTTGCAAGGATTTCAATGGAAGATAAACTGAATTTCATTTCTAAAATTAAAAAAAACATTTTCTGTATATGTTCCAATATATTTATGTTGAGTATCAATGGGGAGCTGCTGAGGATATTAGATATAAGAAGGCACCCTGTACTGATGGAGAATATTAGAAGAACATATTGTAGACTATTTGTTAATGTTATTTTATCATGGTGATCGGTTTTATCTGAGTAAAGTAAAATCTGTCCTATGTGAAACTCACTGGTTACAAACAATGTGTGGCATCTGAAATGTTCTTTATTGTGATGAGACATCACTTGATATTTGAAATGTTCTTCTGTTGTACTTTATGGATATTTGTTAGCTTCCATACTCTTCTAGTATTGTGATTTCTCATTCAGGAAGAGGACAAGAGAGATTTCTAGCTTGTTATTTAGTTCTGTAGGTAAATGGTCTATGTTACATGTTCTTTTCATGCTTTGATCTTTGCTGTAGGTAAAGATAGTTTTGATCTTTGCTGCCTTGCTTTCTAAATGTTTTGTTAACCATGCGTGCAACAATTGAAAGTTGTCCATGAGAATGTCAAGTTACTGACTGTAACTCCTGCAGTAAATAAACTATTAGATGTTTGTCTCTCAGAATTTGCAAAGGCACATGTTGACTGTAATTTTTATGTGACCTTTGTTTATGTAGTGCTGTTTTCAGTTTTCAATTAATCATGTTGGCAGTTTTTCGTCCTTCGTTAATAGTTGGTGCAATAACTTAGAAGTGTGATTTACTTTTTCTGACAACTTTATTGTAACCAAGAATTGGACTATTGTTTTCAGGAGAAGCACAATGAGAAAGAGCATAAAAAGGAGAACAGGGATACAGAAAAAAGGGAGGGAAAAAAGGAAGGGACAAAGACCAAAGAAAAGACAAACACAAAGAAAAGAGAAATCGAAGAGAAAGGCACAAGGACAAGAAAAAGGAGGATAGGGACAAGGGTGGACGCGGGACATATAATGATAGGATCGAGAAACCGATTCAATGTCACCATAAAGACAGGCTGGAGGGCATCTGGAAAACTGAAGATATTAAGCATTACAAATTAACTGAGTTGTACTGTCAGATCAAAGCAAACGGAATTGTCGGTAACTCCAGTAGTTTCATCCAAAGAAGCTTTGATGGATCCGGTGCTAAAGCTGCAAAGCTTATGGAAAGAGTTGCAAGTATTAGAGTCATTTCTGCTTCTATGTATTCTTTGCCTTGGAGAAACAATGGGATGGACAGCAGATAAATTGCCTAGTTTGATTCAAAGTCATACCGAGGCTTCTGGATCTGCAAATGCTGTTAAAAAAGAACGAAATACAGCTAATTTGGTTCCAGACTTCATTTATCTTGGGCAAATAGGAAATGGTGGTAATGAACAACCAGTGGACTCGAGGGTTTCTCTTCAACAACGATCTGATGGTCCATACATCACAACTGCAGTGGAAAAGGAGAACTGCAAATGAAACAAAGTTGTTGTTCCTATTAGCATGGTACAAAGACCTTCTAATGGTTTGTGCCAATCAGCAGAAAGCTCTACAATTCTGGCTCATAGAAAAGTTGATGCCATTGGCCTTGCAAAGAAAACAGAGGACAGCGGAGAAATCAAGAAACTGGTTCCAAACATCTTTATAGAGCGGAGAGAACAGGGGGAATTGGCCAACCAATTGAGAAGGTTGAAGCAAAAGTATTGAGGGGAAAGAGAATAAAATGGTAGGGGAAGCTTGTGGTAGAAATGACGCAAGATGCATGAGCAGTGGTCAGGATAAGAAGAACAAGGACAAGGACAAACTCAAGGAGAAAGGAAAAGAGAAGACAAAATCGAGACATAAATGTGAGCAAAAAAATAAAGAATATGATTAGATAAGGGATATAGGAAAAAAAGGATTGGATAGGTATTTCAAATCTAGAACTGCTAGCTTCTCAGAGAGACAAGAAAAGGAGTCGCAATACTGATGAAAATAAGAAGAGAAAGGAACTTGAGATGAATGGCCTTCTGCATGGTGCGTAATTCTTTTTGGCGGCTCTATTTAGCTGCTTTCCTTTGATTCTGCAGGCATCATTTAGTTTTATGGTATTGTAGATGTCATTGCCTTTGGTTATAATTATGTTTCACCTTGTGTGCTTTGTCATTACAGAGAATGATATGCTGCCTGATAAATTCCAAGGACAACTCCTACCCACACAGAAAATGGGATGCTAGTGGACTCGTCCCATGTTTCTTGTTCTTCCATGAAGCCTGAGGCCATAAATAACATTTAAGGCAGGAAAAATTTCTGTAAGTAATGAGGAACACATTCTAAATGGTGTAGAAATGCCTCCACCATCCTCAGATGAATCGAGGTATCCAGCTGTTATAGACAATTCGAAAGGGCAAGTTTCTTTGAAGCCTCACTGAGATTTCAAGTATCTCAGTGAAATATACTCCATGCGCAAAATGGATGATTTGCCAGAGTATGATGACCAGGAGTGGCTATGCTACAGCTTTCGACTTCAATCAAAACCAAAGACAGAGCTTGAGGCTGATGAGACACCTCAAGTGTGGGCTGAGGCAATAAGAATTGGGTCCGAGAGTGTTCTCACTTTGCCATATGTCATTCCATTTTGATATCAAACTTCCTTTATACCTGATTCATATTGAAGATATGGTAGCGGGACCGAGATACACAACTTATTAATTCTTGCTGCCTTTCATCCCTTCAGGTATGAGTTCTGATTTGTTGCAACAGTATTACATGTTACCAGTGATGCACAGGACCATTTTAAGCAAGATCTTTGGTGACTCATATAACGCTAGTGGTGAGATGTATCTGATCTTGCAAGACCTGGGTACATGAACTTGTGTAAGTTCAGAGGATATGAAATGTATCAGGTTGGAATGAACTTGTAGGCTGCACTGTTTTAAGTGCGTAGGTGGATTATTGGGGGGGAGAAACTGCATAAATCGACTCATAATGACTGTTCTTATGATGGATGGGGTGTTCCTGCTACACTGATACACAATTTCGGTTTATGTAAATCTTTTTCAGAAGAGGAAATGTACAATAGAAGGGAAAGAGAACCAACTTAAAGAGGCATTTGTCATTCATTGATATCTGACTTACATGTAGGCCTACTTTGTTTTGACATGGGGAAAGGATATTTTGTTTTGCTATGGTAGAGGATTCATTCTTTGAGTTCTTGTTGTGCAATATATTTTGGTAGCTGATGCATGTATTTATTTGGTTGCAGAAGCTGAAATGTAGATGTCAGTCACTTGGCATCCTAAATATATCTCACATCGTGGATGCTCAAATGACTTTTTGAAGCCACAATAATGAAAATGCAGCGATGGCATACTTCTGGACGAGGTACTGAGTTGATGATTTCATTGAGCATATTCAAGTAATGCAATTGTTTCTTGTGATTAATCTTGCATCTTTTTTCCGAGCATCAAAGTGTTGCTACTCTAATGTTGTTCTTTTTCCTGTTTAACACTCGTGACTTTTCCCTCACAGAAGAGGTGAAATGACTGTGCAAATAGGAGCCTGAACCCTGCCTCGAGGCAGGCATTCACTGGAGAAGATCCGAGTACGTGGCTTCCACCTGCGCACTGCTGTGTAGCGCCTCGGAGAAGCGCCGTTCCCTCGCTGTCTCCCGTCACCGTCAACGTTCTGCCCTGGTGGGATAGGGGCCGGCGAGGAGGCAGGAGCCTGGACCCTGTTTTGTGGCGGGTACTCACTGGAGTACGTGGCCTCCGCGTGCGCACCTCATGGGAGCAGGCTCGTCCCCTCGCTTTCTCCTCCTGCACAGCAAACAGAGGCCGGTTGTCCCCATCACCCTCAACGGTCGACCGCAGAGGGACCGGCCCAGTGGCAAAGGAGGAGCCTGAACCCTGTCTTGCGGCGCGTACTCACTGGACATATCCGAGTACGTGCCATCCGCTCGCGGACCACTGGGCTGCGGGTGTGACTCATCCGAACCAGAAAACAGCATCTAAAGGTCCCCAGCATCATCAGCGATAGACGGCTACGGGATGGGGGCCAGTGCAACGGTAGAAACCTGAACCCTGTCTCGCGGCGCACACTCTCACTGGCCAGAGTTGTCCATGGGAGAGGCCGTGTCCCCGCGCTGTCTCCTCCGGCATGGCAAACGGGTCCCCATCATCGACAACGTTCGAACGTCTCTTTCCTCTGTTTTCTTTATTCCCGGCGCTTTCTTTCTCCAAAACTAAGAAGTAAAAGCAGCAGAGCGCACGCATCCAAAGGAAGCCGACGCCAGGGCGAAACAAAGCGCAGTTCTTTCGCTCTGCTACCAAGAACAGACTTGAAAACACCACCACGACAATCTCACCCCCTCTCTCTCTCTCCATTGATTGGTACTGTTTAACCCTTGTCGTCTTACTTCCGGTAGCTGAAGTGGTTCAACTCGCCATGAATGCCTTTTTCATTTACTCCTTGGAATTTCCTATAAAGGTCGCAACTTTCCTCACTCCCAGAGTTTATTGTGAGTTGCAGCGCTGCTAATTTCCCGTGTTGGAAGCTCGAGAAACGGAAGAGCCGAGGAATCCAGAGAAGAGAAGCAGCTTTCTTCGCGCCTGACCATGCCGCGGCACAGAGAAATGGCCCTCCTCCCTCTTCTCATCCTGCTCTGCTTATTCTCTTCGCTGGGTAAAGCAATCGCTCGTTTGTTTCTCTGCTTTTGTTTTCTTCCCTCGATGTTCTTCGTCATATGTGCTTCGTCTTTGGCTGCGCAAATTTGGATTTTTTTGGCCCTTTTTAGGTCCAAAGGTCTGGTTTTTATCTGCTTGTAGTGCTTTGTGACGCTCTGTTCTCGTCTGTAGCAGCGAAAGGTGGGAGATTTGCGAGGCTGGGCATCAACTATGGCACCCTCGGAGACGACCTCCCCTCCGCCGCCCGCTCCGTGGCCCTCCTCCGCTCCATCGGCGCCGGAGCCGTGAAGATCTACGACGCCAACCCGGCCATCCTCCGCGCCCTCGCCGGAACCCGCCTCCGCGTCTCCATTATGGTGCCCAACGAGATAATCCCCTCCCTGGGCACCAACGCCTCCCTCGCCGACGCCTGGGTCGCCGCCTACCTCACCCCCTTCTACCCCGCCGTCCGTGTCCGCTACCTCCTCGTCGGCAATGAGATCCTTTCCTACACCTCCCTCGCTAACTCCACCTGGCCTTTTCTCGTCCCTGCCATGGTCAACATCCACCGCTCTCTCATCGCCCGCTCCATCCGCGATGTCAAGGTCAGCACGACCTTCGCCATGGACGCCCTCGGGATCTCCTTTCCGCCCTCCGCCGGCGCCTTCCGCTCCGACATTGCCGAACCGGTGATCCGACCTCTCCTCCGGTTCCTTCACAAGACCCGCTCCTACTACTTCGTCGACGCCTACCCTTACCTTGCCTGGGCCTCGAATCCCTCCTCCATCCGCCTCGACTACGCCCTCTTCACCGCCAATTCGAGCTTCAACTACTTCGACCCCGGAAGCAAGCTGACCTACACCAACCTGTTGGACCAGATGCTCGATGCGGTGGCGGCCGCGATGGGCCGTCTAGGGTTCGGCGACGTCCGGATGGCCGTGGCCGAGACGGGTTGGCCGAACGCCGGTGACCTGGACCAGATTGGAGCGAATGTCCACAACGCGGCTACTTACAACCGGAACCTCGTGCAGCGGATGGCGGCGCGGCCTGCAGCGGGGACGCCGGCAAGACCAGGGGCGCTGATGCCGGTGTTCATCTTCTCGCTTTACAACGAGAACCAGAAGCCGGGGCCGGGGACGGAGCGCCACTGGGGCTTGCTCTACCCCCACGGGAAGATGGCCTACGATGTGGACCTGAGCGGGCGGCGGCCGTTGGCGTCATACCCGTCGCTGCCGCCCCCGGAGAACAACGAGCCGTACAAGGGGCGGATATGGTGCGTGTTTGGCGGTGGTCGGAGGGCGGCGTCGAACGCGACGGCAGTGGGGGCGGCGCTGGCGTATGCGTGCGGGCAGGGGAACGGCACATGCGACGGGATCCGGCCCGGCGGGCCTTGCCACAAGCCCAACACGATCGTGTCGCACGCCTCTTACGCCTTCAATTCGTACTGGCAGCTGTTTCGGCGGGCCGGTGCGACGTGCTTCTTTGACGGGCTCGCCTTGCAGACCAAAACAGATCCAAGTAAACGCCACATCCTTCCTCCTGTAGAATTTTGTGTCAGCATTATTGTCCATAACCTGTTCGCTGAAAGTTCACACTGATGCAACTAATGCAGGTTTGAATGAATGAGCTAGGATTAGATGACAGCAACTTTTACGGCTAACAAAGCAATTACGTCGAGAGCAACTTTCTAGATTAGTAAAGATAATGTGACATGCACCTTATTATAATTAATGGCAACAAATTGGAATTTAATTAAGAAGGGTGTAAATGGTTTCGATTGAATTGTGGTAAAACAACAAACACCTAGCTTCGGTTTTAAAAAAATTAATGGCTTAAAATTATATTTTTGTTGTTATATATATATCATCTGTTCTCGACAATTACTTGCCTGAGTTTGGCATCTTATGCTACTGAGAGTGCAATCTATCTATCTTTCTGGTATTCTTGTAGTAAAATTTTGGTATATCTACATCCATATGATTGGTGTAAGTCTTTGTTTTCATGGAGTTCTTTGTCTAAAGTATTATAACAAACAGATCATAGAGATGACCTTAAATACTGATGGTAGTTACACTTGCTATTTCATGATATGATCGACTTTATTATGAATCTCTAATAGTTGATACTGAATAGCATATTGGAGCCTAATGTGTACAGAAGAATATTGAAGAAAGTAATATTATTCTACTTTTCAATTAGTATTTATTTGACAGGTTAGACAAGAACAAAGTAATATTCTATCTTCACAAAATGATTTGGAAGATTAGACGCACAAGCATTCAACTTAAACATGATGTTGCCATTCAACTTGATGCTAAGAAACAATTTCATGTCTTAGTATCTAATGCTTTGAGGTTTAGAATTGCTGAAAGTTATTAAAGGCTTTGCAAAAGCTGGTTTTCTTCATGATAAATATTGTGGTCATGATATTTTCGAGGAAACTAATTCACTCTATGCTTTCTGCGATACTGTCTTATCACTGATACCATTCATATTGCTTCATTAGTATAACAGTTTACGAAATTGTAGATATTATTTTCATGGATGGACAAATGTTATATACCATCACACTATGGTTTTACAATCATGTGGTGATATCGTAAACTGATGCTCGTATGATTTATTGCTGTATTTGCTGTCTTGATCGACATTGGACGGTTAGATTGACCTGATGATTTCTGCAGGTTATGGATCGTGCAAATACCGAAGTTTGGCAAACTAAGCAGATACTAAAATGTATTGAGGACACCATATTCAAGACTCTGTGAGTGAGATTAGTTTGCAGTGGTGTCTCAGTTTTGAGGATGGATATATCTACATAAATTCGATGATGTTTCGCTTCGCCGTCCATATATTCTCTACATGTATCTCTTTTAAACTCCCTTTTTTGGCATTTTTATCCATTATTGCACTTCATGTAGTGTGTTGATATCAAGTGATCGATGTGGTAAACATGGTAGTATTTATCTGTTATAAATTGTTCAAATTAAGAATTTCTTTTCAAAAGATTTATTTGAAAAGGTGTTTTCTTTTATTTTTGGTAGTTATTTTTCAAAGGTTGTGTCTTTTGAGAAAATATCTATAAATAGCTATTTGGGGGTAAATTACCAACACAACACTTTCATGCTCTTCTTCTTTACTCTCCAAGTGATTGAGTTAGATATTTTCCAATTCCTTTCTGAAGATTCTTTATTGTTTGCTATCTTCTAAAGGCTTGTCATATCCACTAAAACTATTTGCATCAAACCCAGAGCAATCTTATTGAGAAGAGGGTGCAAATATTGTTTTTAGGAAAGTGTTTATACACGTTTCAAGCCTAAATATCTTTCCTAAAGTATTCTTGATCTTGTGTTTGTTATTTGTTTCCATAGTGGGTTTTATCCTCTTCTTTGTCGTACCTTTTTTTTCCAACATTATCTGGGAATGTGATTTCTAATAGAAAAACTTTGTTGTTTTGGTAGCAAAGTGTGAGTCTAGACAATGCCACAAGGAAGGTTGGAGTGAGAAAGAAAAGATTAGTTTTAGCCAAAATTCTATTCTTTAGGAATGTGTGTTGAGTTTTTGACATATTTGGTATTAGAGTTGTGATGGATTATCATTTTTAGATAAAAATACTGTTATAAAATTTAAGCATTTTAATAATATTATCGATGATCCGAAGTCTCATAAATAAAATTTTACAATCATAATTCAAAACGAACTACAAACTCAACTTTTAAAGTGAATACAACAAAATTGCTCCTCTAACTTAATAAATTATTGAATGTTGATTTTTTTTTATCAACACATCTAATAAAATCAGAATCTGAGTATTCAATGATCTCTAATAAATGAGCATATAGTTCTTCATTCCATGTAAGTATCTTAGATTACTTTATTTCGTTGCTTGCAAGGTGACACAAATTACTATCATTAGCAGTAGTAGAGACGTTGAAGAAAGACTTTTGAGAAAGAGCGAGCATTTAATGAAGATCTTTTTGGGATTTCGTAGAGGCTTTTTTTCTTCCTTGGAAAAATAAGGGAAATTGGTAACTATTTATTAGGTGTAGCGTTTTGGGTTCTTCTAATGGGTTGGAGAGTGGTGTGTTAACGACCCCAACATGGGTTCGTTGAGCTACATCGAGCTCGGTCCTTATTTGTTCTCGAACCTGAACCTATAGTCCCCACCACATTGGGTCCTCCTCCTCCACGATGATCATTGAAGGAACCCTAATGCTGTATCCTAATATAATATAATTAATCCTCCTTTCCATCCCTCTCGAAGTTTCCGAAAACACTTTGCTTGGAAGTCGGGCGAGTCCCAACGGAAGGCATCACGACGGGTGTGGAAGAAGCCTGATTCGACGAAGGAGACGAACCACTCGACGTCGACGGGAAAGGACGATCCTTCGTCTCGGTCGAGGGGATGAGAGGAGGACTTGTCCAGGGATCTCCCAGCGGATTCGGGAGGATCGAGCAAGAGACGGAGGCGATCGGAGACATCCATCGTGTTCGTATCGACCCACGAAGCACGTGACTTGCGATGATGCGCCTTCGCCCCGCAGATCTTACCTTCCACTTCGATCGAAGTCCACCCACCAAATTAAACCGAAATAATTCGATGCTTTTTATTAACAAAATCGAATAAAAATCATTCGTTTTCTTCTTCCCCCATCTCTCTCTTTCTTTCTTTCTCTCTGGTTTTAGATCTCGATCTCGATCTGAATAGTGCTGCGCCAAGAAGACCGATCGCCGTTCGTGGGTGGGATTTATTTGCTCTGGATCTTGAGCGGAGAAGACCATAGGGTTTCGGATTCGCCGTGGTTCCGGATTGGGATCGGGGGGAATCCTCCCCCTCGTAGCAACGCAAAGCGTCGATGGAGCAGTTGAAGACGATCGGACGGGAGTTGGCGATTGGGTCCCATGGCGGATGGGGCCAGTCCAAGGAGTTCCTGGACCTGGTGAAGTCTATCGGGGAGGCGCGCTCCAAGGCGGAGGAGGACCGCATCATCCTCCGGGAGGTGGAGTCGCTCCGCCGCCGCATCGCCGAGCCCGACGTCCCCCGCCGCAAGATGAAGGAGTACATCATTCGCCTCGTCTACGCCGAGATGCTCGGCCATGACGCTTCCTTCGGCTACATCCACGCCGTCAAGATGACCCACGACGACGCGCTCCCCCTCAAGCGCACCGGCTACCTCGCCGTCACCCTCTTCCTCAGCGAGGACCACGACCTCATCATCCTCATCGTTAACACTATCCAGAAGGACCTCCGTTCTGACAACTACCTCGTCGTCTGCGCGGCCCTCGCTGCCGTCTGCAAGCTCATCAACGAGGAGACCATCCCGGCCGTCCTCCCCCAGGTCGTCGAGCTCCTCACGCACCCCAAGGAGGCCGTCCGCAAGAAGGCCGTCATGGCGCTCCACCGATTCTACCAGCGATCCCCGGCCTCAGTGTCCCACCTTGTCTCCAATTTCAGAAAGGCATGTTTTCTTTTTTACGCCCTTGCATTTGTTGTATTCGATTGCAATTTTTTTCCGAAGTTCTTGACATTCAATTTTCTGCACTTAGAAGGATTTCTGGTCGCTAAAAAGGTGCTTCCTTCGGCTTGTTGGTGATTTCTGGTTGTTATTTCTTTTTTGTTCCCCGGGATCTTATCCCTCCAACCAGCCTGCTTTGTTTCAGGAAAATTGTCTTGTTTGAGCCAATAAAAATACTAAACTGCTGTAACATTTCTGGCCTCGAATTGTTTATTAGCACTTGAAAAATACCTGAACAAGTGACTCTTGAAATTAGAATTTAATGACAAACCAACTGAAGTGGATTCAATTTTTAGAAAAGGAACCTTCCCTTGAGATTTGAGAAGCAATTAGACAGATTGAATGAGACAGACCACCATTATATGAAAAAGGGGTAGAGTTGATGTAAACAGCACAAACATGTATGCAGGAATTTCTATGCGCTTGGTTTTGTGGAAACTTACCCAGAGCTTCTTAATTCGATATTGACCTTACATACTAGCCCAAGCATTCTGCACCAGGCACAAAAGACAAAGAAAATTATTTGTTTACCTTGATAGTATAGCTCGATTGTAAAGGGAAATAATTGAATATCAGTCAGAGTAGAATGTAAGTGAAGAGGGAAAGAATTGGGCCAGACTCCGGGTTAATCTAGGCATGTTACAACCCGATGATTATATCTTGCTAAATCAAGTGAATTTCAGAACCTGGGTAAATTAAGCTTAGCTTGTTTTCTTAGATCATCACGTATGAAAGGGTTTCGATTATCTATCTGACTGTAATGTTTCTCTGACCATTAGATTTTATAATACCAGGCTTTTCCTTGACAAGCTACTTTACATACTATATCAATCTTCTTACAAATTTTTTTTTTGTAAACTTTGTTGATTATTTCTTCTACTCATGTCTGGCATGGCTTTCTGTGAGCTAATATTTTTATTTATTGATTGATTATGTTGCAGAGGCTATGTGATAATGATCCTGGAGTTATGGGTGCAACACTTTGTCCTCTGTTTGATCTCATTTGTGCAGATGTAAACTCATACAAGGATTTGGTTATCAGTTTTGTTGGCATTCTTAAGCAAGTAGCCGAAAGAAGGCTTCCAAAGACTTATGACTATCATCAAATGGCTGCTCCATTTATTCAGGTATTATGGCAGCTATGATACTTGAATCTCAGTACTTGTCACAGTTCTACATTGTTAGCTTGCTATTTTTCTTTACAGATAAAACTACTAAAGATTCTTGCACTGCTCGGGAATGGTGATAAGCAAGCAAGTGGACACATGTATAATGTCCTTGGAGACATTTTTAGGAAGTGTGAACAATCAAGCAACATTGGTAATGCTGTGCTATATGAAAGCATATGTTGTGTTTCATCAATCCATCCAAATGCTAAGTTACTGGAGGCTGCAGCAGAAGCTACTTCAAAGTTTTTGAAGGCATGTCTACCTTTTTATTTTTGGTTGATAATGGCATGCTTTGAGTTTCTTATTTCTGTCATTTTCGTGGGCAGAGTGATAGTCATAACCTCAAATACATGGGTGTCGATGCTCTTGGCAGACTGATCAGAATAAATCCAGATATTGCCGAAGAACACCAACTGGCTGTCATTGATTGCTTAGAGGTAATACTTCTCAAAAGAAACATGCTTTTTGGAGTTACACTACAACCTATGGTTACTAATCATAAGTTTGATAGAACTCATTGTATGCTCAATCCCCATGAAGAATTTAAACCCTAAACATTAAATTTTGGAAGAAAAACATATGTTACTTTTATTTAAATTAAAAATTCGTTGATCTTGCTAATCAATGTTGTTTGTCTACCTATGCGCTAAATCCACATGTAATCCTTTGTCCTAAGTTCTCAGTTCAGTAATATGGACCAGAAAGAAAGGGCCCATTTGCTTTACTTTGTTATGGGCCAGAAATCCATAGTGCTACATGTGATCAAGCATTCTTCATTTCCCAAAGGCAAGGATTCTGATGCTGTATTTCATGCACATGCTAGCCTTGGATTGGAAGTATCTTTTGCTGCATCAATCAATTGCACATTTAATAACTACTTCACAAAACAGAGATTATTTTATGTTTTCTTGATACACAATAAATGAAATAAATGCTTTGATTATTTCTATTATATCTAGATGTGTATAAAAATATATGTTCTTACAATTTAACTTTACATGATTATGTTTCGTATTTTGTATGATTTGATAAACACATGCCAAATCCTATATGATATTTAACGAAATCATCTGATAATTTGCCAATATTTTATGTTTCCAATATAACCTACTTAGGAAAACATTTTACTTGAAAAATATTTGACATATAATATAGAAGTTCACAATTTTATATCAGAGCATTACAAAATAAAACATTTAAATTAAGATTTGTGGAACAGAAAAGAAAATCAAGGATACAAGAAAAGTGTG